CTCTCTCTCTCTCTCTCTCTCTCTCTCTCTCTCTCTCTCTCTCTCTCTCTCTCTCTCTCTCTCTCTCTCCCCCCCCCTCCCTCCCTCCCCCCCCCAGCCGTCGGATCAAGTAACTAACTATGATAGCCCAGTTGTGTGTGGGTCGTTGTCCGGTCCGTCGCCATAGGCAGGTCGGCGAAGCCGGAAATGCGAGAGTTGAATGCCTTGGCAAGCTTTCTTCCCACGTACCGCAGAGAGTTGTACCCCCCTGCAGAGAGGAGAGTTGCAGCAGCCTGTCGCTGACTAGATGATCTGACAATGGACGAGATCTGATCCCGCAGGGCCGAGCTGCACCCGTCTCTATCCATAGCTCGTGCGACATATCTCGCCATCTCTAGCTTCAACACTAAACTGTCCTCTCCATCTTCCTCCTCCTCCTCCTCCTCCCCCTTCTCATCCTCCTCCCCCTTCTCCATAGCCATACAATCATCAAGCTTGTCTCCCATTCTCGTTGTCCTACTATGTAATCCTTTGAACCCCGCCGCCATAGCCAAAGCTCGCACCACTCCCTCCGGTAGCGCCGCCAACAGTCTATCTCTCCCATGTTCTGAGCCATCTTGTTCCCAATACAACGGCGATGAAGATGACAAGCAACAAGAAGAAGAAGCAGAAGAAGCAGGAGGAAGAGGAGGAGATAGTGGCAATGTTTCTCGAAGGCATCTTAGTGGCAATGTTTCTCGAAGGCATCCTAAACGTTCAAACTGAGATATGGGATCCCAATACCACGTCAACAAGGCTGCTCTCCTTACGGCTGCGATCTTCATGACCTTGTCCCGATCCTCTGCGAATCTCATTCTCATATCACCAAGATAAGACAGGCCGCAAAGCAACAACAAAAGCTCATCTCGAAGAAGGTAAGTAGCAGAAGCAGCATCGATGCCGCCATAGCCGACCTCAGGTTCTTGGAACATGATCGCCCCATCATGTCCACGTCATCGATGAGCACTTCAATAGGCCTTTGCAGTCTCCCGCTCACGTATAACGATTCCCACTCTTCCAGATCCCTTCTCAACTGCTGAGTACTAATCACCCCATACCTGATGAGACCGCCAGATCGCAACGGGACGAGAGTGTTGAAATGCACTCCCACACCGACTCGATCAGCTATGGCGGCAGCGACGAGCCATCGCCCAACCTGCTCACAAACCCAGAGTAATGGTCACGATTCGCTTCAAGATTTTCCCCATGCCAAGCTTCGAGCCAGGTCAAGATATAATCTATCATTAGGGCTTCATCCGGTTGATCGTTCTTTTTCCCGCCAATTAACCGCAGCTTCATATCCAGATCATCTTGTTGATCACGCTCTTTCCCACCAACTAACCGGCACTTCATATCCACATTCTTCTTTCAGGCAGTCCGTGTAGACCTCGATGTTGGCATGGAGATAGACCTCATCAATCCTCCTCCTCCTCCTCCTCCTCTTCGTCCTTCTCATCCTCTTCCTCCCCCTCCTCCTTCCACTCCTCGTCCTCTTCCTCCTTATCCTCCTCCTCCTCTTCTTGATGGGTGAGCACTTTACAGACCGATAGCTGACACGTACATAGTGCCAGTTGTCGTGAATAGCATTGTCTTTGTGATAGTAGGTGGAGTAGGGTCCAGCCTGGACGCTCGTGCATGTTTAAGTCCTATTCAAATACGAGTGGCACACATGTACCGATCTGGGCGCGGAAATTGATAGCGGCATTGGAAAGAAATATCGAGAAATAGCTATCGGCCCGTTTCGCCTGTAATTTGGAATTTGTAATACGTGCTTGGCTGGTAGCACCTCGGATTTCGTATTTCCCCGAAAATTCCCAGTCATCTTCTATTGGTCAGTGCCCCCCCTTCTTCAGGTTATCTTTAGGCGGGAAAAAGCTTCCAACAATGCGGGCAAATTTCAAATTGTTGCGACAGTATCCCGTAATTGACTACCGAGTAGGACGACAACGCCACACGGAGAGTTTAGGCATAGGTAGTCGTTCTGTATTAATTCGAGGGCAAGGTCGTCGGCCCTCATTGCTCAGTGGCGGGACAAGTAGGTGGGTGTCGGAAGGCGGATCCGAGGAGAAGGCCCCTGACGAGTGCCAGGTGCGCGTCCTGGCTGAAACGTGCGTAGGGCAATGAGCGCGTTTCTTATAAGCTCGGTGCGTGCAGTTGAGCATGGAAATTTATGTTGAAGCATGCACGAAGGACAGTCTATGGCCTCTGTTTAGCACTATTATGTGATACATAGTAACCAGATGAGAAGTGGGAGTCACATTGGTGGTTGTGTCGACATTGCAACTGGAGAGACTGTAGCTTAGAGCTTTGAAGTAAGAGCTCCGTCCGTAGCATAGCTTTCGGAAAAGAGAGAGACACACTAGACGCGTACAAGTCGGCGGGTGATAAGGTTGTTTCCTGTGAGTTATATTGTAGGAGCGATATGATGGCGTCTTCAGGAGCTCCAGGAGGGAACCTCTAGGTATTTGTTTCAATTGCGGGCAACAACGACACTTCGCACGTGATTGCCCCTGCGGGAAAGGCGCCTTCAGCTACAACTCAAGATATTGGCAGTCGAGACAAGACAAGGAGAGAGAGAAGGAAGAAGACTTCAAGTGAATCAAAGAATGGACACACCATCAGATGAGGAAGGAACAAGAGCAGGAAGAAATCAAGAGAGCGGAAGAGGAAAGACAGAGACAGGAAACCAAGCGAAGGAAGGTGCAGTTGGAGCAGGAGCAAAGAGAGGAGAAGATGAGACGAATGGTTGCGGATGTGGAGAGGAGATGCGTACAAGAGACAGAAAACGTGAAGCGGTTAGCAGAGGAAGCCGAGCTGAGGACCATAGCAGCAGTGGCGAGAGATCTACGAGCATTCAAGGCAGAGATAAGAACGGGCATCAAGCTTACTTTGGCCACGAACACAAAGACCCCTAGCAAGGATAAGGGGAAGCTAGAAGAAGACTCCGATGCGTACCTGCTGGATGATGAGGGACGGACTGAAGTTGGAAAGAAGCGTCCACTCAAAAGGACCAGGGGGAAGAGATCGGCCCGAAGGTACGATGATTACAATGAGTTTGAAGAAGAAGCAAGAGTACAGACACCGGAAGAGTACGAATCGTCCGTGAGAAGAAAGATGTATACACCAATACAAATCAACGGCACGGGAAGAGAAGCGATCGCCTCAAGCAGTAAATCAACGATAGTGCAGGATATCCTAGATGCACGCGCCAAGCTAATGAGTAAAGACTTCCGAGAGGTGAAGAAGCTGTGTGAGGCTGCGGACATTACGTATGTCAAAAAAGAGCGAGTCGTACGAGAGCTCGTGAATCGCATGATCCTATCGAGGGAGGGTGGCATTGACGACGGACTGGAAGACCTGCAACTGGATGACGACCTCCCAATGAACGGTGACTTGCATTGACGGTGCCTGCCCCCAAAAAAGCAGCTCTGGGCGTCCCTAGTTGGACTACTCAAGCTACGAGATGCTCTGTGGGGGCATGCTGGCATGTCGAGGTTACGTCTTTCTGTAGAAAGAGCGTTAGCAGCTAGTACCGTTGTTACGGACTCCGCCACGGTTCGATCCCCGGTCCATCTTTTTGCTGTTTCTGCTGCTTCCCGTTTTTTGGCCTAGCACCCTTTTTCCAAACCCCTCCTTTGGTACCATCGGATTTTGGACAACTGGCGCCATGCTGCAACTCGGGCGCCACTTTCAAATACCGCACTTTCCAATTCTGCACCCGGGGCTTTTGCAGATCTGCCCCCGGTATTGTACCGGACACCCGGTACTTATACCGGTGCCCCGTACAGTACGGGGGCCCAGTCTCGTACCAGTTTTCAGCTGCTGTACTCGTACTCAATGTGACTTGCTCCTGTTTCAACATTCGGAATCCAAGACTTCGACTTTGTGTCCTTGCCACTGTGTCTGCGTCCGACCCTCAGTCTTGTCGAGTGAGTGAGTGTGCTCTCTCTCTCTCTCTCTCTCTCTCTCTCTCTCTCTCTCTCTCTCTCTCTCTCTCTCTCTCCCTCGGCTCTCCTTGTCTCCCTCAGCCCCGCGCCCGTTACACTGGTATCGGAGCTGGTTGCTCCCTCCATCGCCGCTGAAGACCTTCGATGCCGCCGTGATCATCGCCACCTGGGCCACCGTCGTCACCGTGACCTCCCTCCGGCGTTCCTCGCCGAGATCTTCATCGCTGCCGTGCCGCGTCAACACTTTGTCGCCCTCGCCGCCTTGATCCTTGCTGCCGCGCGCCAGGTAAGCAACAAAAAAAATAATAATTTTTTTTCTCCTTCTTTCTTTTCTCCAT